GGCGTCTCCCTAGAGAGTCTTGACTTCTTTGGACGCAAGGAGAAAGTCCCTGTGGGGTCTGCCGAGGAAGGCTGGGGGCTCGCAGGGGCTGGAGAGAAGATAAAAGATGGCGAGCAGCAAAAGGTGGATGGAGCAGGGAAAAAGGACAGAGAGGTGGCAGGAAAGAGGAAAAGAACTGCAGAAAGCAGTGAAAGGAAAAGAAAAAAGACCCGAGGTATTTATATACGCGTACGCATATCCTTGGAAGAATACCCTGTTCAAATTCATGCTTCTTGCTTCAGTTTACTTTAAATCTGTGGGTACTGTTGGTCATTTTACCAGAAAAAAAGAGGATTTGGGGTTTTTTGGCTGGCCTGTGTCAGAGCTGATAATATAGTTGGGCCACAGTTTGGTGTTAAGACATGGGGATGTGATTGATGTCCTGGAGTCTTTATTAATTTTAGTGAGAATGAGAGAAAAAAGGCTTCGAGATAACCTTTTTTATCAAATACTTTTTGATTAGATTTTACTAATGGAAATTTAAATCTTTTGAAATTTCCAGAAGCAGTGTCAGTGCCAGAGTTGTCAGAAAGTAATGGAATAAGGTGGATGTCCTCTCTGGAAGCAAAATTTGAAGATGCAAAAACCAAAAAACCTACTGCAGAAAAACTTGAATGCTTGAGAAGAGCGAAGGTGGGACCATGGGATTGTAATGTAGCAACAGGTTTCTGGGGGTGTTTCATGCAAATGTGGAGGATTATTTATGGTAATTTCTCTTGGGAGGAGGGTGATGAAGTACAAGGAAAATAACCAGAAAATTAATCCATATTTGTTTAGTTTTATGCTGTCAAAGAAAGAAAGACTTTGTCTTTTGCCTTTTAGGTAAACCACTTCAGAAATCAACACAAGATTAGTGTTCAAGGAGCAGATCTTCCTGACCCAATCGCCACATTTGATCAACTTCAGAAGGAATACAAAATCCATCCTAAAATCATGGAGAACATTCGAGCTGCTGGCTTCCAGGTCCCAACACCAATCCAGATGCAGGCTATTCCTGTCATGCTTCATGTAAGGTTTCTGGTACTGCGTTATATTACAGGCAATATGGCAACATTTGGCAAGCAGCTTCTCTTTAGGGTCAAGGCAGTGGTCAGTTGCACAGCTTTGGAGATACATCAACTGTATCAGAGTTCAAAACTGAGACATTACAATATTAAGCATTTGGGGTTAGGCTGTAGCATTAATATTTACCTCTGTGAATTTTGGTTTGTGGGGTTTTTTCTCTTTTATTTCTGTCTAGTAAAATACAACACGCTGCTTGTTTTTTCTTACAGGGTCGGGAACTTCTAGCTTCAGCTCCTACTGGGTCTGGAAAAACACTGGCGTTTTGTATTCCCCTCTTAACACATCTGAAACAACCTAAGAACAAAGGATTCAGAGCTCTGATCATATCACCTACCCGAGAACTTGCTAGCCAGGTGTGTGTTGATGGGAAAGGGATTGTTGTCATATTGATGCACTTAAACATTTTCACTCTGATACAGTAAAGCTTAGTAAATATTTCTTTTTCTCTATTACCCTCAGATATCAGAAAAAGCTATTTTAAGCTTTTAAGTCTTTTGTCTTCTGTGAAATAGCTACATATCTAGCATCTCAATCTAATCTAGATGATTAGATCAAAATTCTTTGATCATATTTTAAAACTGCTCAGTGCTCTCAATACTTATCTTCATATTTGAGATTGCTACAAGAGATGTATGTCTCTGTCCCAAATGCAGATTTTCAACAATTAACTTTACATTGAAACTTTGTTACTAAACTGAAACAAAAATTGCATCTTTGGGCAGAGTTCCATTTTTATACACATGGGAGGTGGGGGCTTATGGGAGCACAACATTATTAGAGTCAAAACATGGTAGTCAGACCTGTGAGAGCTTCCAAGTGAATCGTGTGTTGGAAAGCTGCATTTGATTACGCTAGGAAAACTAAACTCTTAACACTGGAGTCAGAGCGATGTTTGAAGCTGTATCTTCAGGATTGTCTGCAGTTTTTCTGGTTAGAAAAGCTCATCAGCTCAGTTTGAAAACTCAGTCACTGTTGCTGCCTTTTCAGACACATAGGGAGCTGGTGAAGTTGGCTGAGGGGACAGGCTTCAGAATACACATGATCCACAAGGCAACTGAAGCAGCAAAGAAGTTTGGGCCCAAGTCTTCTAAGAAATTTGGTAATTGTTTTAACTGCTGAAGTGTTTCCACAAATTTAAAAAACGTTGCTGACCTTTCTCTTCTGGCCTGCGTAGTTTTAAGGAGATTTCATGTCGTAGGTGATATCAACCGATCTGTTGCTGGATACTAAAAAAGTAGTTGGCATGGACTTAAAAGGAAGTGAGCCTGATGGTGTACCCTGTTACATTGTACCTCTGGCAGATGGGGTTGGAGCTAGAGGGTAGATTTATAGTGGACATCAGGAAGAAATTCTTCATGAAGAGGGTGGGGAGGCACTGGAACAGGCTGCCCAGAGATGTTGTGGATGCCCCATCCCTGGGAGTGTCCAAGGCCAGGCTGGGTGTGGCTTTGAGCAACCTGGTCTAGTGGAAGGGGTCCCTGCCCATGGCAGGGGGGGTGGGACTAGATCATCTTTAAGGTCCCTTCCAGCCCAAACCATTCTGTTTCTATGAACTTGGATTTTTCAGGGCTCTGTTAGTCTGGTTTATTTTGGTTTTTTAATGTTTTCATTTTTTTTTCTCCTATAGATATACTAGTTACTACTCCAAACAGACTCATTTATTTGCTGAAACAAGATCCTCCAGCCATAGACTTGACCAGGTACCAGAAGTGTTTATCTGGCTTTGCTACGAGCTTTGCCCCTGAAATCGTGGCAAGCGTGCATTGTCCCTGCAACTGTGATGCTCTCTTGGAACCTTTGCCTTCTCCACGGGTGACTCGTACTGAAAAGAAAACCTCTCTGTTCCTAGCGTGGAGTGGCTGGTGGTGGATGAGTCGGACAAACTGTTTGAGGATGGGAAGTCGGGGTTCCGTGATCAACTGGCCTCCATTTTCCTGGCATGCACGTCCCACGTGGTGAGAAGAGCCTTGTTCAGCGCAACCTTTGCGCATGATGTAGAGGAGTGGTGTAAACTCAACCTTGACAGTGTTGTGCTGGTGTCTGTTGGAGCAAGGTGGGTGTGCAGTTGTACTCTGACTCTACTGTATGGTGGGTTTGGTTTTTTTCCCTTTCCTGGGCAAACTACTCGCTTTCTTTGCATCAGTCTGCTTGGTTGTATGTCTGTTGTTAGTACTGCAGGCTGTTTGTCCCCAGAAAAAATGGTGTAGGCATACAGATCTTTCTCACATGTTGGGGAAAGTGTTGTATTCCTTTACCCATTACTTCATCATCAAATAAACCTTCATCTTAGAAGCCTGTACTGATGAAATAAGTTTGTCGTGCAGTATTTCTCATTCACCAGCTAACACTTTATGGTTTTTTTTAGTGTGTAGAAATACGTAAATAAACTAACGGTAGCACGCTTGCGTTGGATTTCTGGTTTCAGAAACTCTGCAGCAGAGACAGTAGAACAAGAACTGCTGTTTGTTGGATCTGAGACGGGAAAACTAACGGCAATGAGAGAGCTTGTTCAAAAGGTATTTGGGAGATTGAATACATTGTCCTTAACTTCGGGACTGATCTGTGCATTCTGTCAGAGACTCATGGTTTCCTAGGGCAGAGAATTCTGTGATGTGTGTTAAGCCATTGTCCAAATGTGCTGTACCAAAGGAAAAGTATCCTGCCTATGAAAACTGAGGTGGTTCCCCATTCTTGGTTATATATTTGGCTGTTGCTTAGGAGTGGTTTGGAAAAAAAAAACACCTGTTGGTTTCTGTGGGTGAAAATGCAGCCTGATCCTTAAATTAGGAACCATTCCATGAAAGGCAAAGGATCTGAATTGGCTTAGTTCTGACTCCCAAGGATTTGGCTGGTCCAAAAGAAAAAAAAATAATCCTCTGAGATGGAAAAAACAGTAGCAGGTTAAGTCTCTTTAGTAGCTCAGCTCCAATAATGGTGGGAAAAGGACTTGCACCTTAGACACCTTTATTCTTTTGCAGGGTTTTGCTCCTCCAGTCCTTGTTTTTGTACAGTCTATTGAGAGGGCTAAGGAGCTTTTCCATGAACTTATTTATGAAGGCATCAATGTGGATGTCATCCATGCAGACAAAACTCAGCAACAGGTAGGAGGCCATAATTTCTTTTCAAGAAACACTTTACAACACTCTTGCTTTAACCTTTCTTTCACGTAACGAGGTAACTTTTGGCAGTAAATTACTGCAGGTTTTTGTTTAGAGGTTTAGTTTATTAGTTAACATTGTGGAAACTTCCAGGAATCAAGGTCAAATTGCTAATCAGGCTGTTTCCAAGTACCTTTCTTTTCTTTTCCTAGAGAGATAACGTAGTACACAGTTTCAGAGCTGGGAAGATCTGGGTGCTCATCTGCTCAGCCTTACTAGCTCGAGGTATTGACTTCAAAGGAGTGAATATGGTCATTAATTATGATTTGCCAACGAGTGCAGTGGAATACATCCACAGAATAGGTGAGTGGTTGTTCAAACTATGTCCTTTTTCTCATTTCCTGGATATTTAATGTAGGTGCTGTTGTGCATGAGCCAAAATCCAGACAGCAAGCCTCCTCTGTTGCTGCAGCTTCTAGCTTCTACACCGCTGGAGTCAGTTTATATCTGGGCTCAACTTTCAGTAAAACTGCATTACTTTCTGTCAGTCTTCTATAAACCTTCAGTGTTTAGATGCTTCAGGCATACCTGTGCTTTCATTCAATAGGAACAGTCTTGGGGGATCGGCCGCTTGGTAGCATGCTTAGTATACTAACACACATCAGGAGGATGGGGCTGCGAAGAGGAATAGAATATAGGGTGATATTTAAAGTAAAATCTCTGTTTGGCAGGTCGTACCGGAAGAGCAGGGCACCGGGGCAAAGCAGTCACTTTCTTCACAGAAGATGATAAACCTTTATTACGGAGGTAAGTTGGAAACATGGTATAGCAAAAAATGGGGGGGGGTTGTGTTTTTTGAACCATACGGTGTTTTCTGTTACCACACACCTCGTAAGCACAGTGTTGCCACGCTCTGGAAACCACACACTGTAAAAATCTCTTACAAAGAGAGAGAACTATCAACGTGCAGGGTGGAACCACAGTATGGGAAAGACTGAGAACATTTTGATTTTAAGGTCTCTTTTTGAAGACTTTCACTAATGTAGAAAGAGAGAAACTAACATCCTCTCACTTCTTTCAGTTATTCTGCCTTGAACTTCACTAAAGGGCAGGTTCGACAGTCTTTACTAACTTTTCCCTTGTTCCGATTTTCCTAAATCATTTGCTATGTAGAATGATCTCATGCTGTGTTTTAGGTTTTTTTTAAATCCAGTTCTTTAACTTGCTTGTGCCCAAAGTTATTTGGTACAATTCTGTTTTGGCTTACTGCTTTTTTTTCATCTCCTGGAAGACTCTCCTAACCTAGAGTTTGAATTTGTTTAAACTGTCCACATGAAGTCATTTCATTTAAGCCTTTTGTGTCTTTTTGTTTCTTCCTCACCTTACTTCAAACTTGCTTTTGTGTCTTTATTGCTTAAAAAACCCACAAAAATCCAAAACCCAACAACAAAGCAGCTAACTGTGAGGGATTGCTGCTTTCCACAGAAGATGCTTATCTGTTGTCCAGGGGACTCCGTGCTAGAGTTAATCTCTTTCCTCCTCTCCCTTCCAGTATTGCCAGTGTTATTCAGCGAGCTGGCTGCCCTGTGCCAGACTACATAAAACACTTCCCCAAACTGCAAAGGTATGTTCATCTGAATAGTTTAACAGCTTGTTTCCCATTTTAAAAGCCTGCATGAGGTGTGCAGGGTGTCTAAGTGTTACAAAAGATCTAGTTGTTTGCAATATAGTGGCAGTTAAGCCGCAACAGGAATCTTAGACAGGGTGGGGGTGGGAGATTTTTACCCAGACAAAAATGGAAACAAAAAGAATTCTCAATTTACAGTTTTCCTGGTGTTAACTATTTTTTTTGAGTTCCCTGAAATCTGTTTTAAACTTCCTAGGCACATACTCATGAATTGGCCTTTGTTCTTTAGAGGTAGCTATAGAAAAATTGTTGTAGGCGTGTATGCATATAGATAAGTAGTTTTCTACTTAGCACTTCTTTTAATGCTTTTTCATGACTTCTGATTGTTTCGAACCAGAAATCCATATATATGTATATGTCTTAGGTATTAAAGTTTGTTTGAATGTTTTGGAGGGGATGTGGTTGAACTAATCTGGAATAAACAACACTGAAAAGGTATTCAGACCCATAAATCCCTAACAACCAGTCAAGGTTTTCATTATCTGTTTCATTTACTTTGAATATTAATTTTTGCCCTTCAAAGTAATTTAATCCTTCCCTGAATGTTGTTCTCAGCAAACAAAAGAAGAAGTTCATTAAGAAACCATTGACAAGAGAATCCATTTGTACCACCCCTCAGTGCTTCTTAAAAAAAGCCAAAAGAAAAACGTAAGTAGTTTTTTCTCAAGAAGTAAGAGATGCTCTTTATCTGGAAAAGGCCCGGCATGCTTCCTCCAAAATAACCGATCACCTGTTTGGATGGACCACCCAGTCATAATGATTTTAATGATGGTGAAGCTCTAGTGTCAGTATCTGTCTCCTGAAAATGGGATTAATGCCATCAATCTGCCTTACTGATGCTCTGTGTCAGGGGATAGTGAGCAGGGTTCAAACCACTGACCCTAAAGCCAGACTTGAGACGAGCTGTCGTTGGACAGAACGTATCCGCTCCCCTTCTGGTGAAGGGCTGGCTTTGTTTTTAACGCGTGGAGTATTAATACCAGAAGCAGATCTTAAGTTGTAACGAGTAGGGCTTACAGAAGATTGGCATGGAGCAGTTTGGTGTAGTAGCAGTCGTAAAGAACAGTGTTACCCACGCGCCGGAGCGTTGCTACGGAAGGGTTGATGTTCAGCTGCACTAATGCAGTGTAAAACAGCTGCTGTGTCCCTGCTGTGTGCTTCATGTAGTCAGCTGTCTTGGTCTCCAATGTGTTTCTTGTAGGAAAACTACAAAGGAAAATATAAAGGAAAAAAAGAAGGTTAAAGAAGATAAAAGGGGCAGTAAATGACAGACTTTTTGAAAACCTGCATAGTGACAGACTGCTCTCAAGCTGGGGCTGACGCCTGTGTCCACACTGAGGAATGGAAGAGTGAAGATAGTGGCAAAAGGGAAGGGAGCAAGATCTTCTTATGTTTCCTTCTGGCTGAGGATGGATGATTTACGTGCGGGAAAGCCTCTATCAAAATACCAGTAGGGGATTCCTGAGTGCTTCTTAGAGAAGCTGAAGAGTGTGCTCTCGCAGTAAACGCCTGTGTTCCTGAACAGTAGTGAAAAAATAGCATCTGTTTGTGTTACTATTGCAGAGTTTTGTATTACTCCTTGGAAACACTGCCAGTTCTGTGTTCAGATCATCCCTAATGTGTTTGTCAGACTTGCAGAAGATTCAGTGGCAGAAAGCACAGAAAGCTTACTGTTAGACTTGGTAAATGCAGCTGTCAGAGACTTCCCTGGACACTTTAAAAAAAAACAAAACCAAAAACAAACGAAACAAAGCAAGCCTGTGTTGTGTGTGACAGTAAAGCCTTGCTCCTCCTACTTTTTTGCTTCTATAAAATAATTCTGAAATAACTAGCACTTCACATGTCTGTAAAGTCTAATGATTTTGTACTCTTTCACGTTTAAACCTTGAAAAAGAATAAACAAGTCCGTAAATGATTGAAATAGAGAGACCTGCCTGTCTCCACAGCCTTGCTGGAACAAGTCTGCAGGCATTATTCCTTAGCAAAAAACGCCAGGCTCCATGCATTTTCCACCTCATCGGTCACGTGCGTTCTCAGTCCTGGCTGTGTCAGAATTCAGGTAATGCAGGAATGGCTTCTCCTTTGCAACTAATCCTCAAAGCAAGCGTTCCTGTACAGGATTGTGTTCTTGTCTTGGCATACTTAATCCAGTCTGGAAATGGTTCCCAGGTCTGTGTAGCTCGTTTACAGCAGAGCGCTGTTAATTGTTCTGCCCAAGTGACGACTGTAAAGTTTTGTAAGAAACTGATCACAGAATCACAGAATCACCGAATGGTTTGGGCTGGAAGGGACCTTAAAGCCCATCTAGTTCCCACCCCCTGCCATGGGCAGGGACACCTTCCACTAGACCAGGTTGCTCCAAGCCTCATCCAGCCTGGCCTTGGACACTTCCAGGGATGGGGCATCCACAGCTTCTCTGGGCAACCTGTCCCAGTGCCTCCCCACTCTTTCTGGGAAGAACTTCTTCCTGGTATCCAATCTAAACCTCCCCACTTTCAATTTAAACCCGTTACCCCTTGTCCTGTCACTCCCTGCCCTTGTAAAAAGTCCCCCCCAGCTTCCTTGTAGGAAGCTTCCTTGATGGAAGATGCTCTGCGTCCTGTTTTGCTTATTCCTGAGCTAGACTGGAGTTGTTCCTGCTTTGTTTAAGGAATTGCATCTTACAGAATGTCTCCATTGTGACATCCATGAACAAATTTGCCTGTGTAATTTAATAAAAACGCAGTCTATTCTGATAAATACCAAGTTGCCTGCTGCACGCTGTTGATGATCGGTACGGTGGGCAGTGTGTTGGCGTGAGAGATGACTGATGCCTTTAAAGGTGCTGCTAACGCGTAGAAAAGACGTGCTTACTGAGAGCAGGAGAGAGCAGGTTTTGACCATGAGCGTTTTCTTGCATAGCAGGATCCAATTCCAATTTGGCTGACGGTTCTCTGGGACTTCGTTTTAAAATGAGAGTTTAAATTTCATCTCGCTCTTTCTCAGGCTAGGATTGATTTTAATGTGATTCCCAACGCTGAGCTGTAACTTAGGAAAAGTTTGAGCCTTGCTCAGGATTTGCTTCCCTGTGGAGTGCTGAAAAGCTGTCACAGCCCAGGGCAAAGGACAACTCCAAGACTTCACTGCTTGGTCACGTATCGCAGTGAGCGTTAGCTGACCCTATGGAGAGGAGCTGCTTTGCCGTCTCCCTGTCCGGAGCATCGCACCGCGCCTGGCCGGGAGCGCTTTTCCTTACCCTGAGCTTCCTGGCCGGCAC